ACCTGAGTCAGTATAGTTGGAGCACAGCATGTTAGTGGCATACAAAAGGACCTTTGCTCCTTCAGTTTCAGAACTGCATCAGACAGTCTCGGTTTTATTCACAAACTCCCTGTAGCCCAGAGAGAGCATCTCGCTTTCTTATCCCATAGTTCTCAGGGCCATACCTGCCCATCCACTCATTCATGCCATCAGGAGCCACCTGACTTTTACAGGCTGTTTGTTTATCCCTAGTTTCCTGCCCCACTTCACAGAGGCTACCTGATTTACACCAGGTCTTATCTGACTTGGATCTGTGAAGAGCCTTCCTGGGCTTTTTGTAGGTTTTAAACTAGACTCCACCCACTCATATAATGGGCTCACGCTTACACCATTCTAAGTGTCCCTAACTATGCTATGTAACCAGATGCCAGCACACAGCTCTTCTGTGACACACACTATGTCCCACAGTGTTCGGGCCTATAGGGCAGTTGAAGTTGCTGAGCTGACTCTGTGACAGTCTAGCCTTAATTATAACAGGACTTAGCCTCCAGGTCTGCCTTGGTACATTGGCTATTCTTCCAAATCCCTGTTTAACAGTCCTACCAAATCCCTATCATTAGCACCATGGCATTCTGAAGTACAATCCTTTGGGTTCAGTCTTGAGTATCAGGTACTCAGGACCCCTCAAGCATCCAAACCCAGCCTGCTCCCCTCTCACAACTCACCTTGAAAGCTGGTCCTGGTGTCCTGTCCACATAGGGGCTCTCTGACCCTTCGACTCTTAGGGGAGTGTTTTCAACTTCCCCCCACGTCATCAGGGGGGACTCATTCATACCTGCAGATAGAGAACTCACAGTCATGTCAGACCAGAGAACCCAGTGGGGGTGCTGCCTTGCTCCTGGTTACCCCTGCATGCATCCCAGCTGACATTATGGTCAGCAGCCAACCCTCTTTCTGTGCAACTCCATCTTCTGAGAGGAAAATTTCAAAGATACCATAGGTTCAAGGCAAGACTGCTATACTTAGGCTGAGGAAGCTGGGTCAGCTGGACCCCATCCTAACATAAGTCAGGGGCACCAAGGGAAGAGGCACTCTGGGTTTCCAGGGTCTCCTAGATCTCAAGGCAAACCTATAGTACCTCCACATGCCTTGACCACATTATAGGAATCAGCACTGGGTGTGGAGATCAGCATGGAACGGGGCAGAGAGGTACCCAGATTGCCAAGGATTCACCTGAATCTTACCTCTTCCCTTGTATGGAGACTGTAGGCCTGGTGCCCAGAGCCTCCCAGTCTACAGAGCTCTCTGAAAATGCTGTAACATATAGACCTGTAAACACTATGCATGTAGCAATCTGCCTATTGACATTACAGGGAAGACCAGAATAGGAAATGGTATTCCAGAGCATCTTGGGGCAGGCTTGCTGAGTCTAGCCTGCTCACCACCCTGACTAGTCTGGGTTCATAGTCCATTTCTTACCAGGAGCAGGAGAAGGAGTGGCAACAAATCCAAAGCCACCTACTCTGGGGGACTCCTGGGGAATGAGCTCCTTGCCGTCTGGGCCAACCTTGCCCTGTTTGTGCTGGAACAGAGAGAGAGAAAGCCAGTATCAGAGGGGCTCTCTCCACAGATGGCTGATGGCAGGTGCAGAGGTAGATTTAGGAAATTCTTCCTTCCTCAGGATAAAGCTGGGCTCTGGGGCAGGCAGTCCCTTGCAGAAAGAGGAAAGACCCTCATCCTCGCCTCTCCCTAAAGATCTTAAGTGACTGTAAAAGTGAGCCTCCAAGCAAGGAGTGTTCCTCTCCTGCACCCACGGAGGCACTTCTCAGGTTGTAATGTTCCAAAGGCCAGTACTATCTCTTTCCCTTGAAGCACCTGTCTCCCCGTCTTCTGCCTTCTTCCCTCCAACCCCATTACCTCTGAGCCGCCATGTGGGGGCACACACTCATCTTGTTCCCAGGCTCAGATTCTCTGTGCTCTTGGTCACCCCAATTACTGCCCTCTGGGGATCAGGCTCTCTCTTGCACTTGCTGATTTTCCGGACTGCCCAGCACTTTGTCTACTCACCTCCTTGCCTGGTACGTAGGCATGGATATGACCAGGCTAAGCTGACTCCCAGAAGCCTCTCTCCTCTCAGCCCACCATCATAGGCTGGCATGGGGCTGGACCCACAGCCATATGTCTGGCCCCACTGGAAGTCCACACAGGCCAAGAAAAGACACGGGCCCTACCACACAGGGGCTGCAGTATCCTGCCTATTGAGCTCTACCTGGTCTCAGGACAGTTCTAACTTTAAGGGGACAACCAAGATGGAGAAGGCCATGCCTACCCAGTTAGCCCACCCACATCTGCTTGTCTGTCTGGTGGCCCTGCTGGCTCACCTGGGCATTGAGAGCTGCTGCCTGCTGGAGCTGGGACCTGCTCAGGGCCTGGCTGAAAGGGTCCCGAAGGAAACGTGTGTTCTTATGTACTACCTGACGTGGTTTCTTGAACAGCTGCTCTTCACCAGGGACACCTATCAGAGAAAGCAGCAATGATAACAGATATCAAAGGGGTAGGAAGCCCCATCTCAGATCCAGAAGTCCCACAGCATGGGTAACAGAAGCTTCCCAGCCTCTTTAGCTCACATATATCTACAGAGCCTGAACAAGGCAGCTTGGGGGGTGGGGCTCACTGCCTCGCAAGTATCCCACATTCCCCTACCCCAAGATAGACCAGGACATCTCTGAGACCCATGCTGCCAAGAGAGCACAGACACACAGACTCTGAAAGTTGTCTCAAAGGCAGCCAGACACACCGTTGTAGCCCTTCCCGGTCTTGTCAGTTGGCCTCATTCACTCACCCTCAGGGTAATACATGAGGGAATTCTTGGCCTTGTACTTCCAGGTCTCCACGCCAGCCTGACTGCTCTCAATAGCTTGGTGCTCTGCCGATGGGAGTTCAAGATTATCTTTCTGCCGCTAAAGTAACATGGGGAAAAGTAGGGTCAGGGGGCATACAGGCCCTGTACCTGTGGCCCTGGGACTCCATCCCAATAGAGGACACCTATGTTCTCAAACTGCAAGGCTACCTTTTCAAACTCCTCCTCAGCCTGGTAGAGCCAGGCATGGCGGGTGCGGCTCTTTTCCTTGGCCACCTCCATGATCTCCTGGAAGGAGGCATTGTCCTCACTTGTGTAGCGGCTCAAGAAGACATCCAGGCTGGGCAACGGCTCCTTCTCCTCCTCTTCTCCAGTCTCTCCTGCTTGGGGGTCACAGGCAGGGAAACACAGAATCACACAGGACATTACCATTACTCTGCAATTGGGGGAGATCATTGCAGAGAGTCCCAGGAACCACAGTACTTTATAAACAGAGCTGGAATCCTCAATACTGCTAGGTGACACACCCTGGGAGCAGAACCAACTGCCCAGAGAGCTCCCACAGCTGTCTGGCCAGCTCCAGTCATCTGCTGGACGCCAAAAGACACATCTGAATGACTGGGGAAGGGGCGGGGGACAGCAAGAGTTCATGATGACAGTTTGGTAGGCTCTTCCTCTGCCGAAACTGTGCTAATCCTGCAGGATCTGCCTCCAAAGCCCCAAGGTTTCTTCTTTCTTTCCTGGTATTGCATGTGGGTGATTGTCAGCTAAGCATCAAGATCTACCACCTAACTCCTATGGTAGGAGCCCAAATGGCCCAGTGAGGGCGCCACAGGTTCTGGGTCACAAAGTCAGCCATACCATTTCTGTCTCTGCTGCCAAGGAAAATGCTACTCCTGCAGCGGTCACATTGCACATTTCAAAGGGCTATCTGAGGGAGAGCTTCCCCATTCACTCTACTGATGGTCTTGACTACTGGCCACATGCTAGACAGTGCCAAGCACAGTGGCTACAAGTTCAAGACCTGGGTTCGAATCCCAGCACCCACATAGGAGCTAACAACTGTCCATAACTCCAGTTCCAGGGGATCTGACAGCTTCTTCTGTCCTCTGCGGGCATTGTACAACATGGGTACACTTACCTACATGTAGGCAATACACGCATACACATTAAAAAAAATAAAAATAATAATAATCAAGCTCCAACAACAACCATGTTGATGGCAGAAAAATCTGGGTTGTGAAAGAGAAAACGGGTTTGTGTGAGCATATTGCATTAGTCCAGTAAGCATATTGCCCTAGTCTAGTAAGCTGCAGACTAGAACCCAATGGAAAAAGAATATCTTGCCACCTCTATATGCACCAAATAGTCTATTTCTGACCAAAAGAGCAATTGATCCTGACAAATCCTTTAGTATGTGGCACATTTACATTTTCAATAGACTCAAAAAGAGTCCCTCTAACATTAGGATGTATCTGATGCTCAGGAAACACATCA